AGTTGACGATCTCTTGGATCGTTAAGGGGTGTAACCTTCACCTCGTGAACGGTTTACAAGTTCCTAAAAAACTTGTTGGCGACTCTTTTGCTCTATCTTCTTCCCTTTTGGACGCCACCGTACTTTAGTGTATGATCACAGTGGGGTTCAAGCTAGTGGGATTTAAAGGCTTGAAATTATTCCCTACAATAACATGATTAACAGGCTCTCGCAATTTATTAACCAACATAGATCTAACATGCTCTCGCAATTTATTAGACCTAAGTTCCTATTAAAAATAGCCTTTAATATTAAATCAACATCTGCTCGATTTATCAATTCAATATTGCTAAACATTCACAATCAAATTACATCTGCTCGATTCATAATCTAATTGCAAAGAATTAAAACAATTCAATAGGAAATTATCATGCAAAATCAATAATCAATAATAACAAACTATCCCTTCATATTAATTATGGATCCCCATAAACCCTAGAATTAAACTACTCACTAATCATCATAACTAAACCAATCAAATAAATAAATAAGAACATAATCAAGAAAACAATTAAAATAGCTGAAATTAAAGAGGGAAGAAATTGTACCAAAATAAATCTGGAATTAATGAAGGAATTAAGAACAAGAGTTTAGAGAGAATTTAAAGAGAGAGAAAAATACTAAGTAGAGAGAGAAAATCTAAAAGAAAGAAGGTAAGTAAATAATCCGTACAAAACGAATATATACTTCTCCTAAAACAAGAATTAACTAAACTTAATCAGACTCTAGGAAAAAACACGCGCCCGATCGAGCCTACGCTCACCCGATCGGGCACGCCTTTCCTTGATAGCAGTCATGTGCGCAGCCGCCCGATCGGGCGTATGCTTACCCGATCGGGCCCGGTCTTCTTCTTCCAGGCTTGGACTTCGATTGGGCTAGATTTCTCGGCCCAATCCATATTTCCTCTCGGGTCTCGAATACATGGTCCAATTGCCTCGTGATCCAAATAACCGAGCCCTTAGTCACCGGCTCTCACCGATCTTGGGCTCCAAAAGTGGTCGTGTCCTTCTAGCTTCCGTAGTCGATCCAATAATGCCCGGGAAAATGCTCCAAGAGTGCAATTTCCTGTAAAATATAACTAAAACTACGAAAACACTAGAACACACAAATTAGTAATAAAAGTGGCCCGAAAGAGCCAAAAACACTACTAATAATGACCACGGGACGGGGGTAAAACACTATATAAAATAGACATATCACTCACGTTAAGAAGCAACAACATTCCCCAATATTGGTGTGACTTATTTGGGGCGACCGCAACTCTTGGATTTTTAATGGGAGAACAACACCAACATATGTGCTTATTGCTAGACTTGACAGACCGATTGAGGAAATGGGGAAGTACAATGCTATAATCTACAAGTCCTTGACTCCGCAAGCTCCCAAAAGCAAGGCTAGATGGTCTTCCCCCTCGTCTGGTGTTATCAAGCTAAACACCGATGCGTGTTGAACAGGTGAGGGGTGGATTGGGTTGGGAGTAGTGGAGCGTAATCATGTTGGTGAGGTTCTTTTCTCGGCAACTCGCAGGGTTAGAGTTCACTACTAGCTGAAATATCGGAGGGGAGGGCACTTCTTCTAGCTATGAAACTCGCAAAAAGATATGGGTATAAGAAGGTTATTCTTAAGTCAGATTGTCAAGTACAGTGCTTATTAATCTCCTTTTCAAAGCTGTAATTTTTTTTGGAGTTTGTTGTTGTTCTAGAAGATATTCTGTCTTTAAGTAGTAATTTTTCTTCTTTTGTTTGGTCTCATGTTAGAAGGGATGTCAACTGTGTAGCTCATCACCTTACTAGATTAGTGTCGTTTGGAGCGGAACAAGTTCGGGTTAGACATTGTCCTATGGAGATTTCTCCATGTTTGCTCCTGGACTCTTTGTCCCTCGATCAATAAAATCTAGTTCACCGTTTCCAAAAAAAAAAAAAAAATCTAATAGCTCGCATCATGCAAACCAATAAAATGATCTTGAGGATTCTTGACATTAGAAGTAACTAGATATATGGTTCATGAATTTTCTAGAGCATCATGGATACAAGAATGATGAAAGAATAATTTCTAGAATCTTTCGGCCATTTCTTCACAGCTCCATCTACAAATATAAATATAACTCATGGGCATTCAATACACACATACAAACACAAGAAGCCATACTTATACATAAGCCTTGCTACCCTCCTTGTATACAATTCACCTTCTCTTTATAAAACCACTATTCCTATCTTTTACTACTCCATTGTGACTTCCTATTGCGAGAGTTTCCTTGTAATACTCACCCTATCAAGGGTTTTTGTACTCTCCTATTTTTATATAATGGATTATTTTTCTTGTCGTTTGTGGATTTTTTGATAATCTTTTTCCTGTGTGTCCATTTCTTTACTACTTATCTTGCCATTAGCTTTCCTCTAACTATTTTCAATCTATACATCTCTAATTTGCTTCATTTGTGCACTCACCAACCCTAATATTTTATAATCATCTCATTGTGTAATTTCGAATAATTAAAATTATCATTGACTAAAGTTCCATATGGACACATTTGCCAATCAAAGAAGACAAATAAAAAAAAAACAAAAGGATTTTAATTTTGCAAATTTTGTATAATATATGTGTAACGAGGTTTGTTATCACAAGAAGCTAAGTAAGTATATCGTGCTTTGAAACTCGGGATTATAACTGATTGGGTACCATTGTAACCGCCTCTTACATGATCCACTCTTACTGAATTAACTAGTAATCAATTCAAGTGATGCGTGATGAGATATACATATATTTCAATCAATAATGAGGAAAAAAGAAATTCAAAATTAATATTTTTAAATAATGCAACCTTTGAAACCTAATCCGCTCAAAATGGTGCCAATTGATCATGTAAATTGTTATAACAAGTTATCAGACACGTGCCGGCTTGTGATTTTGTTTTTATGTGATTTTTTTATGTGTTTTTTCCAGATAGCAATGGGTTTTTAGTGTATCTTGTACTTTACTTTTGTGTATTTAGTGTGATGGGTTGTAATTGTGCTTTTGTTAAATGAAATCTTTGTTAAAAAAAAATCTTCTTGAACGTTCAAATTTCAAATTATTACAATATTTCATATATACTAAGTGAAGATATTAGAATGTAAAATTACGAGTTGACAAATGTGCATAAATCAAATGTATCAATTAATATGAAACGACGAAGAAATTAGTAATTAGCGTAGTGAAAATTATCAGCATACCTAACTTAATTTATGTGAAAGATGACTATTTTTTGAACCAGCAAATTTGAAGTACTCCAGTTTGACTTTGCTCTATTTACATACACCATTTTAAACCAGTATTATAATCATGTCAACAATAAAAGTAAAGGAGAGAAACAACCCGTTTTTATCTTTTCTCTCTTTACTCTGCTATCTCTTTAGGGTTTTGATTTTCTTAGCCGTTTAGGCCGGAAATAGTCTAATTTTGACCCTTTTTTTTTTATTTAAATCGCTTATTTGTATTTTTTATTTGTTTTGCTTTGTTATGTTCTCTTCGTTTGTGAGAGTCTGTCCCAATTTTTTTTTGGTTTTTCCCAACTTTTTGGGATTTTGATTCTCTTTTATGGATGAGAATTTTATTTTTTTAGGGTTTCAATAATAATTGAGAAGGTAATTTGGATTCATATGAGTTCATGGTTCGTCATCAATTATACGATTAAAACATCAGCGTAGATTGCGAAGGTCTCTACTTGGAAAGATGCAAAGACATCAAAAATCACTGCTCGCGTCAAGTTTAAATCGGTGGAGTGTGAGCTATGCCCGATTTGCAAAATAGTTATGATTTTGATTGTAACGTAACAGTTATGTTATTTTCTCTAGATTTGTGGTTTACAAATCTTTATTATTATTGTAGATGTATGGTTATTTACTAATGATGATAATATTCTTCTTACTGTAAAAAAAAAATTATAATTATGTCAATGTGTAATTTTCGAATAATTAGCATTACCATACATAGTTAAAGTTCCACATCAACAAATGTGTCATCAATCAAAGAAAGACAAATAAAAAAAAGAAAAATAGAAGAATTATTATTAATTTTTTTTTTCAAATTTTATATGTGCAACAAGTTTGGTTATCACATGTAAGAATACCAAGCTTCGAATCTCGGGATCATAACAGATCTGGGTAACATCTGAGTGCCTCTTACATGATCTTCTCTTGTGGAATCAAATCTATATGGTTGAAAAACAAGCTCTCGAAGAAGGAAGACCAACCAATGTTAAATGCAAAGCTCCGGACCTCATGAAGATCTAAGAGTATTAAGACACACTTTAATTTAACCATAAACACTCATCAATCTACAAAAAGAAATTTTGTTAGAATCATTTCAAATGAGTAGTTTCAGGCCTGTAATCTCTTAGAATAGGGAGGGAATCTCTAACCACCTGAGATATCCCTCATTCTCAAGCATTAAAAATGTAATTGAATATAAATAAGATAATTATAAAAGGATGGAAAGAGCCGTGACGAATTTAGTATGGGTTCAGTAACTTCAGTTAAACCCGGGCCACATTAGATCCGAAAATAACTAATTGTAGTTTTCATTTCGAATTATATGTACACACCGAAATTATTATTTGTTGTTTTTATTTTAGAACATGTTATTCCGTATTTGAATTTAATATACATGTTTAAGAATTCCAAACTTGAGAAAATTTCTAGATCTGCCACAGAGAGAGTAATCGTTCAATCAAACACACATTGGATTTCCTATTAAAAGCGAGCCCATTCTTACACTCCATTATTTCCATTTGGTTATTTGTTGCAAAAAACTTCAAAATTTAAAGAAAGGAGTGGCAAATCCGGGAAGAAACGAACAACGCGTAAAAACTAAGCGACCCAAAGAAGCATAATATACTTGAAATATATACGGTTGTATTTATATAAAAGTCAATGCCTTGTAAAATAATCAATTAAAACTATTTTAGTCCTACAGAAAAATTAAAAAAAAACAAAATTAAATTAAAAATTTAAATAAAGCAGCCAACGTCTGTGAAATTACAAAATAAAGAACAAAGATCGAGCTCCTACTGTAGGACTCCCATTTCCATTTTCTCTCTCTAGATTCTCTCTCTTTCTCTCTCCTCCCAAGCTCCTCATCAATGGCGAACAGTAATCTACCTCGAAGAATCATCAAGGTTTGTTCTCTCTTTTACCTAATTTGATTTTTTTATTTTAAGCGATCATTTTGTAAAAATTGTAATGATGAAATTCTAGGGTTTGTGCTTTTGTTTGTTAATCATGATTAATTTGGTGATTTTAATGGTGGTGATTTCGTGTTGTTTTGTTCAGGAAACTCAGCGTCTCCTCAGCGAGCCAGGTTTTTCTCTTTCTCTTTCTAAAACCTTTTTTTTTTTTTTTTTTTTTTGTTTGGGAATTTGTGTGCAATTTATAGTGGATTTATTGTGATTATTTTTTGTGTTTTTATGATAAAAAATGATTGAATTTTGAGGTTGATCATGTTTGTTTTTTAATTGATGGGTTTGGTGGGTTTTGGTTGCAGCTCCGGGTATAAGTGCTTCACCTTCAGAAGACAACATGCGGTACTTCAATGTTATGATTCTTGGACCTTCACAGTCACCATATGAAGGTATAATCATGGTTTAATCGTCTTTCGGAAAAGTTCATTATTTTTTGTTTGATGTGATTGTGGTTTTTCAACATTCTTTTGTGGTTTTTAGGAAAATGGGATTGTTTGTTTGATGTTTTGGGGGATGAGGGAAGAAAGGGCATGTGGAGAATGAGTGGCAGGGTAGTGTTTGCAAGGTGGCATACGGCGCAAAGCTTCATAGGAGTTTTTATCGTACTCATGTCTGATTGTGTGGGGATGGGAATTGGGGTTGATGAAATTTTCAAATTAGGGATTTCACTTGTGAATTATGCAGATAAGTCACACCAACTGTATATGCTGACATCTTTAGGAATACCGGCTTTTGTTTCTTTGTCTTCTCTTTCACTTGTTCTTGGTTGTTAGATTTCAGTTGTCCTCTATAACTCTTGGTAAATAACAGAATCATCTTTTAGCAGTGCTGTTTTTGAAGTTTGAATATGACTCACCTTGTGATGCGTGACCACTATTGATTTGTATAAGATATCTGTCGTAATGAATTCAATCATTCTCAGGATTTTAAAATAGAAGCTTTTTCTAACATGTTGTGGCTATATCGATTCTTCTTGACCCATTATACTCAATGCCTATGATGGTAAACCCATGCCTCAGTTCTTCTTTGGCATGTGTTTTTTGGTGCATCACAAGTCTGCTCTAGTCCTCATTGAGTATAATGTTGAGGTGCACAATAGCTCTCCCATTCTATATTGTGCTTTATTATCTGGGTTCCAACTGCTGTTATGTCGTCTATCATCTTCCTCTCTTACTTTAGCTCTCTGCTCTTCTCCAATCATGTTCTGTTTTCTAATTCAACCTTTTTTTATCCCCTTTAATTCTGCTTTTGTTTCTGTCCTTAGTATCTTTTCCACCCGTGCTTTCAGAGGTGGAGCGGGGGAGGGGGGGGGGGTGATAGAGGCCCGGCCCCCGTGGCCCAAACGCCAACTATTTTATCTTTAAATGCTGCCCCCCCTTAAATATAGTTAAATAATAAATGTTTCTTATACTGATACATAGAACGATATAGCTCAATGGTAATTTAAGATTGCTGCAATACTAGAAGATCCAAGGTCGAATCTTGTTATGTACTTTTATAGTTCTTATCCTTTTTTTTTTTGGTTAAATTTTGCACATCTTTTATTATATGAGTACTATATTAATCTTTCTTTGCTTAGTTCTCATATATTTTTCTTAAGTTATTATTAGATCAGTCTTGTTACTTCTGATTCCCCCCCACCCTCCTATTTTTCACATTCCCAAAATTGTGGCTACAAAACATGATCTGTTGTTTGGTGGGACTAGGGCCAGGTTTCCTTGAAGCTTTACTATCTTTTTTTTTTCCCCTTTCTTCTTTAACTTGGAGAATTCAATTTTATTCAAGTGTCACTCTTGTTGTAATTTGTAAGGCAGCTTAAATCTGGAAGATGACTTTCTTACCTCCTACCCTTCCCCCCCAAAAAAACCAAAAAATAAAATCGGAAACTTGAAATTGCTTAATCTCATAGAAACTTCTTTTGGTACTTATATTCTAGCTTAATTGCTTTAGCCTTATATATTTCTGTGACACGTAATTATGCTCTAACTTCAAACTGATGCTAGAATAATGTACCTTCGTATGTGTAATTGTGTATATCACCACTTATTGAACTTGGATATACTTCTGGGGTACTGTTATTGGTCATTTAAAGCAACAGATTGAAGTCAATCACTTATGAAGCATACTAGCAGCAATGCATTTGTAGGGTTTTTTTTTTTTTTTTTTTTTTCTTATGCTGCATTGAAGTATAGAACAGTGGCCTGGATGCAGTATTTTTAAAGAACTTACAACAAAGTGCTGCTTGTAAAGCGAATTTCAAGATGCTGTTGACTTATCTGACCTTTTACAGTGGCATTCCATTTATTAAGATGGCTCAAGGTCTACCATTTATCTTCTTCAAGGATTGTATTGTGAAACAAAAGATGTGGATTTTTAAGGAGTAGAAGCTGCTTAGTCCTTAGGATTAAGGATGTGGCCTTTTTATGTAAATGGGGCTTCCCCTTTAAGGCTTGACTAATGGACAGTAGCCACAGGTTTCCAAAGACTTGATTCCAACTACTGTTAAATTCGCACTTAGCTTTCTTCTAATTTAATATTAGCGCTTGAACCCATGAGCCTTGCGCTTAGGGCCCAAGATTCGCCTTTTTATTCTTTACACAATTTATGCTTTAGGCATTAGCTGGTAGGTATGATATTCCCTTGTGGTGCTAAATGCTGTTGCCTTATCATTGTTGCTTTCTGAATTTGCATAATTCTATGATTGGTTGTGAATTTCAGTTAACACCATACTCTTCATTTTTGTTGCTCTTCTAGTCATGTTTCAAAATTGCAAATGGAAATGTTCACTAAAACTCATTAGCATTTGATTCGGTTCCAGATTCTGACATTAATGCTCCGAAATTGTGTTCCCATTATTATGTACAGGAGGAGTATTTAAGTTGGAACTATTTTTGCCGGAGGAGTATCCAATGGCTGCTCCAAAGGTATGTCAAACTTTACCTGCCAAATTAATTTTACTGGTTTTTCAATTGTGGTTTTGGTTTCTTGCATATCGTGCAGATTATACCTGTGGATCTATAACTTATTAGCACTGAGCCATCTCATTAAATTTCCCATGTAAAATCCTTTATAGCTAACTTATAGCTCTATTAGGAAACTAAACTGTTTTTAGATATTTAAGTATGTTTACAAAATAAGCTACATAGCAACCAAATTTTCTTTTTGATTTATGAAAATCTAACATAAAACAAGCTCCTTCCTCACCCGTTTAACGTACGGCTTTTGTCCCTCATGGCCACATGTCTATTTTTTAAACTTGAAAAAAAAAATTAGTGAGAATAAAAATAGCCTCAGTTGCTTGAAGAAAGGAGATAACCAAAGGCGGGGTTGGTCTTTGGCCTTTGGTTTACAAAGATAACTTTACCTTTCCTCCATTCAAGTCCTATCCATTTCTGATTTTATAGTTTATTCTTTCCCAATATCAAGATCTAGGGTTTTTTATTAGACCCTAGATCTGTTAAGATAATATTTGGATTCACTTTAGATTACATTGCGAAATTGACATATCTTTAAAATAAATAAATAATAATAATAAAAAAAAAAAAGACATGTCAAAGCTGCTTATTGCTAGTAAAACATATTGTCAAAGTTTGTTTATGAATAGTGCAAAAGTCAAATTATTGGAAAAGCAAAGGAACTATGATAAAGTTCAACTTTAACATGGATCTTCCTTTCTAGCTGACATCTCAAGCTGTCCCGTTTCTGTCTTTAGTCACCAGTCTCACCGCCCTTATTGGTGTTGTAAGGATGTTGGAAAATAATTTGTTTTAACTAATGGGATAGCGAGGGTGGATTGGAGGGATGGTTTCTCAAGAATTTGGAGGAGGTCCTAACACTATACCTTTTTCTCTATTAAATGATAAAAAATAAAAATAAAAATAAAAAAAGCTCTCATATGATTGAGTTTAGAAATTTGTAAATTATAAAGATGTGTTTAGAGAGATTGAGGTGGAGTAGAAAGTACTCTTAGCAAAAAGAGTGGCTTACCCTAGGAAATTTAATTTCCATCTCTTGTAGGTCGACATCCCTTAAGAAAGTGATGTTGAGACCTATTCTTCTCTATCAAGTTCAGTAAAGGGAGCAATCTGTACCATGCTCTGGATGCTTTCTTTTATTAACAAAGATCCCGTTGGAGGTGACTATGTGCTTTATCCAATTTCGAATGCATAGAATCGCCTCAAAAACATATTTTGGTCTAAAAGAAAATTTTAGAGCAATACACTGTCCATAAAGTAGTGGAAAACTGTATTCACATGGTGGTCAAAGAAACATACTGGCTCAAGCTGATTTGTTGATTATTTAAACCCCACTGATGTATGTCCTAATTTTGAAATTTGATATTTTCTTTGTTTCTGTACCCAATTTTGTTTCCCTTTCATTGATTAGAAGTGTTATATTATCGTCACCTATTTGTGACTTAATATTCTGTATATAAGGAAATAAATCTTTGGAGGATTTTTCTCTTGCTTTACAATTTGAGATACTGCATTTGGATATAAGCTCTACAACATCTAACTGCCGAATGGCAGTCCAGAGTAACACACATGTTACAACTGATTGGAGCTTCTTTACCTCCTTGGCCCCTTTCCCATGGGATGAGTCGTTATCATTGCTTAAATCCTGGCTAAAAGGGATGAGTCATTATCATTGCTAAAATCCTGGCTAACTTATAAATTAATCGTAAGCAAAAATAATGCAGAATAAATGCATGAACCAACAATAAAAGTGACACGGATTCTATCTAGAAATCTGAGAACTGTGACAAAAATTGCTTAAGTGCTTTGAGACCTCCTATGATGTTTATGATATTTCAGTGACTTACAAGGCTCTCACGATCAACCTTGATTGGAGTAGATTGACCATTGTCATGCCAACATAAGGTAACCAATCCCGTGATCTGAGCGGATTGACCTTTGTCATGTTATCAAAGATGACTATGTGCTTTATCCAATTTCAAATGCATAGAATCACCTCAAAAACATATTTTGGTCTAAAAGAACATTTTAGAGCAATACACTATCCATAAAGTAGTGGGAAACTGTATTCAAATGGTGGTCAAAGAAACATACTGGCTCAAGCTGATTTGTTGATTATTTAAACCCCACTGATTTGTTGACTAAGTTAAACACTTACATTTTATATATATCTTTGTCATTCTCTTCTTGATTTTACAATTCCTCATGATCTTTATATATTATTCTAAATCCCTAGATTCAAAATATGAAACATTCTTGTGAAACATATCCTATGCCAAGGCAGCATCTTAACTGAATAGGCCACACAGCTGTGTACCATGAACCACATGACCATGAACCTTATACAACTCACATCTTCTATCTTCTCAAGAAAGGGGTGCATGGCCGTATGCCATTTCACGATTATGTACGTGGTCTCTGAGGACATTTGTTATTGCATCACGTCTTCACATAATCACGCAATATATGCTTCCCCGATTATACTCAGTTTTGACAGCAATCATTCCTGACGTTTCCACTACCGACAACTTTTTTATTCTGCAAGGATTTTTTGGCTGATGGCTTATAGTTGCTTTTGCATTGTCTATAGTGCTTTCAGTAGTTCTTATGGTATAACCATCAAAGGCTTTAACAAATTGAATGTATTACTGAATGCCTTTCTGCTACCTCTCTTTTCCTATCTCACTTTTTTACTTCTTAGGGGTTTTGAATCATTTAGTCAATTGGTGACGAGGGGTTACAAGAGGGTGTGATTTTTCACTGTGCTGATTGATTGATCTAATTTGCTCTTCTCCACTTTTTTTGACTGCACATTTTGTGGTGTTTGATTTTACTTGCTTGATTGACTGTAACAGGTTCGATTTCTCACCAAGATATATCATCCAAACATTGATAAGGTAAGGTGGACTCTTTCTTTTAGCTTTAATTTTTCCCTATTCAAAATTATCCTCACGTAAAATATGATTTTTGTTTCTGGCAGCTAGGGAGGATATGCCTTGATATTCTCAAAGACAAGTGGAGTCCTGCTCTTCAGATACGAACTGTACTCTTGAGGTAATTTTTGTTTGTGATTCTTCCAAAGATAATATGAACTATCAGCCCTCAGGCTTCCCTATTACTTTGGATGATACAGTGGTGTTACCAGAAAGCTTCCCTCCCCTCTTTTCCTTTCTTTTTAGGAAACTAGATCCCTCCATATTGAAAAGAAAATGCATGACCACTCCTTTCTTCCTCTGTCCCTTTCCTCCATGGTTGTTAACAAATTCTGTGAAGTACAATGGAATCAAAATCCATAGTTGGTACAACCATAACCACCTACAAACAACTTCATCAATGTGAGTTTTCTGGAGAAATCAGGGGATACTCTGCAATATGTTTGTAGCTTGAAGGTTTTCCTAGAAGGCCTGTCAAATATTAGATTATTTTTTTCTAATCAACACACTATATTTTATCTAATTGAACCTCTCATACGAACTTATTTCTGATGGCATTTTGTCCTGTTTTAATTGTGTTGTTTTCATGCCATGTTTCAGTTTTTAACTTTAGTATGGTTATTGATGATGCTCCTATGCTTGTTATTTCAGTATTCAAGCATTGCTTAGTGCTCCAAACCCTGATGACCCTTTGTCTGAGAACATTGCTAAGCATTGGAAAACAGACGAGGCAGAAGCTGTTGAAACTGGTGAGTAATCGATATTCTTCTAGAAGAATTGTAGTTTGAATTTATTTATTTTGGCCTGCAAGTAAGTGGCCAAATATTATTTCTTCCATCCACAAATTAATAATGTCTTTTGTTCAAGAGTTGCAATTGATGTCGCCTTTTCATCTGAAATGTGCAGCGAAAGAATGGACTCGTCTATATGCAAGTGGGGCTTAATTACATGGCAACAACTTTACCCTCTTCAAATAACAATTGTGATGTTTGATATCTGACTGATTCTAAACCAAGCCTTCTGGTTAGAAACATGAATATCAAGTGATAATCTAGGTTAAATGATGATCAATTGTTCGTATAAAATAGCCTTGTTTTCTGTTGTCTCTTCTATCTTTTCTACCCTGTCGAATCTTTTGCTTGGAAATTGTATAATTTGTATTTGCGTTGCATATCTGGAGCTGTTTTATTGTCATTATAGAAGGTAACTGAAATTCAGTTGCATGTAAGCATCGTGCGGGAACTATTTTTCAAGCTTCCTGGTGATCCTTGGAGGTGAGTAACTGTGAGTTCATGGTGGATCCAAGGGTGCGAAGTTCTAATAACTCGTACCAAATTGTTTTCTGTTATGTTCAGCTAACAGGGACATAGTTTAAACTCCGAACTTGTTAATCTTATTATTTATCGTAAAATTTTGGATTCCAATTACTTAGAAAGGTTGAAGTACATGATAACCTTAAAATAGTGTAACAGTATTCCTGAACTTTCCCCCGATCTAGTGCCAGTGAATTTTACAAATGCATTTAAAATGGCCCTTTTTTCGTCACAATAGTGTTATTTCATCATCCTTTTGTTGTTACAGCTGCTTCCCTTACTCCGTCTCTTACCTATCAACTTCATCCCATTTAGCTAAAGATTAAAGGCTTGAATCGTGGTACTTACATTGGGTTGGATTCAATTCCTATAGCACACAATAAATGTGTGCATCTTGCTGTGTAGGCTAAAACTTCAACTACAATCATTCATGCCAAATTGGCAAAATATAATTACGTCGTACAAGTGAAAAATTAACATTGCGAAAAGCCAAAAACATTTTACAATGAGCCTTATCAGATGGCAAATAGTTTATTCCCGTTCGCCCTAAGAAAAGGGTTAAATCTCTACGTTTTGGAACTACTTTAAGATTTAATAGGTAATATTTAAATTTTTACTTACAAGAAACGATTTAATAAAATCCAAGATCTAACCTTGAGGTTGTGGGATAAGATAGCTTCACGCAAAACCTACCGGTGTAAAAATACTCAATTTCCGCCATAAGATAATGGTGTATACAAATGGATGGTGAGGATAAACTGGATTGTACACTCAAGTAAGGAACAAAAAACATTAAAAGCCTAAAGCATGATCCTTATCTAGAGAGACAGTATATATTTGTGAGTTATAAGAGTATCTATCTTTATCTTACTAGTGGACACTAAGATTACAAGTACTTGAACATTGTTATATAATTACTGCAAAATTTCATGTCACTTGTAAAAATTCTACTTACATTTTCTTCTTTGTACTAAACCTTTATTTCAATCTCTACGTGTTGTCCATTCAATTTTCATCCCTCACATTTATTACATGGTCTCCAGATCTAGTGGCTTTATATGGTCCCAATTTACTCATCATCCAATTTTTCTTTATTTTATTTTTATTTTTAATTTTAATACTTATAATGTAGTCAACATTAATCTCTTTTTATACGGAGTACTATGTATAAATTAATGTCCGTACTGTACATATTATAATTTTGAACATAAAAAACAAAACTTGTAACCTTCATAATCTCTAAATAAATAATCTTGAATATACCGTTATAAAAAGTATTTGATGTATTTAAAAATAAAAACTTCATTAAAAACACAATATCAACAATTATACAAATGTGTTTTTAACAAATACTCTACTTACTCCTTTTTGTTTTTGTTTTTGTGTTTTTTTTTTTTAATTACAACATTTATCTTCTAAACTGAATATACACAGTAACATAGTTTTGCCTAGCTTTGATGATATTAAATTATTAAGTAAATGTATAGGGGTCTTGTTAAATTCGTATAAATTTATACTTTTCACAATATCAAACTTTTAAAAATTTTAGGTATAAGTAATTATTGATATCAATGATTTAAATAAATAATACATTGTGTGAAATGACAAGGTGTTGCAATAAAATGAATTACAGTAAAGCGAAGGAAGCATAACACGATCTTACCTTGTCTAATAAGACCACATGACGACATTAATAAATACTTCCTCCGTTCTTTTTTACTTGACTCGCTTTAACTTTTACACAGAGCCGTTCAATATATTTTGGGGGCCCTGTGCTAATTTTAAAAATTAGGCCCCAAAATTGAGATTATTTTTTTAATAAAAAATTTAACAATAAGATAGAGTGAAATTCTAATTTTATAGTTTTTTGTTTTTTTTTTCCTTGTAAGGTAAAGTACAATTTTCACTTGTGGAAAACTATAAGAAGCTAATAACAAAATACGGATAAGTATAAAATAATATATCAAGTTTTAATTTCGAAGGAGGAAGCTAATATAAATTATTATACAATATGTGACATAAATCGTGAAATGTTTTAGCATTAAGGATAATGGTGAATTTTTATACACGTAGCAACAAGTGAAAGGAGGATGAATTTTAATTTGATGGGAGATATAGTTAATTCATGAAAGATAAAAAATACTACTTATCAAGACTTGAATAAGTTCAAAATAAATAAATAAATAAATAAATAGACATTCATACTTTAGATAATTAATTGGGACTAATACATTAAGCTTTATTGAGGTGCTAAGCACGTAGAACATAAAGAGTTACTAAGGACTTAGAAGTTAGAACTAAACACAAAAAAGGACCTTGGACTAAAAAAATGGTTCCCATGAGATTCGAACCCTGCTACTGTGGGTAATAATCATTGTTGTGATTTGCCGCTCTACCACTACGCTTCAACATATTTTGTGAAATTTTGATGCAGCCTATATAATATATCGTGGATTTTGGGGCCTTTTAATTTGGGGGCCCTGTGCGGTGAGGCTGGTTGCACAACCTCATCACCGGCCCTGCTTTTACACTATTCACCATCCCTCCTTTGACCGTTTTTAGTGAATAATATGTAAGGAAAAACATATTCGTGTGGCCATGTGGGATCTTTTTAAATTCATCTAAATAAGTACTAACATAATGTTTAACTTTTATAATTTTTGCTTATGAACAATAAGTTATTAATTGTTAAAATTTGGCATTAGCAAGCGTGATAAAAGAAACATGTTGTAGACACTCATTTGTGTCTCCCCAAAACCAAACTCAGTGATGAGTATCTTTCACGTTGAATCATAATCGAAGGAAGTGAGAGTGTGGAAAGTCTAGTGTTGCGGATAGTTTTTATTTCTTTTCTTTCTCTCTATTTTTAAAAATCTATTTTAAGAAAATAGCCAATCCAATTTAGTTTGGTCTATGGCAAGGGTCCAATAATGGTGTAGTTGGGTCGGTTCGGAAAGAGCTTTCCAACGATATATTATAAGCCCAATTCCGATGAATAATGAGAAAGTTATGACCAAATTACTAAACTGGGTCCGGTTTGATATTTATGTGCGGCCTAATGATCTAAAGGAGGGCCTATTATTGGTTTATCATTCCTAATGCAATTAGGATTGATTATAGTCTTCTAGATTCTTCTAGAAGGTTCTTTTGAATCCTAACTTAATTAGCATTGATAAATTGACTTTAGTTGACTTTTAAGAGTTTTAACCGGAATAAAAAGAAGTGTTTTTAAGGAAAATACAGTTTTGCCCTCTCGTACGGCTAAATTTTATCAAATTAAGAAAACGCGTGGAAATTCATTCCCAGCGTCTGGCGCTAGAGTCCAGCATTTGGCGCCACACGCGTGGTTGGCGCTGCGATCGTGTTTTATTCTTTTCGAAACTCTAATTTGTTTTTCTCATTTCCGGTTGATTTTCTCTATAAATAACCTCCTAAAACCTCCTTTTTCAATCATCAATTTCCATCATCAATTCTTCTCACCAATTCTATTCAAGAAATTCTTGATATCTTCTCTCTTTCTCTTTTCTAAACTAGCTTTTCTCATACAAAATTCTGCATTCACAAGGTTTAATTTCTGATCTGAGGGTTTGGTCCCAAATCTCTCTTTCAATTGTTTAGTTCAATTTAATTTCTTAATTTTATTATTTTCCTTGAAGTTACTAACGTGTGTATTTTGTTATTAGAAAGAGGTACGAGGCATCCAAGTAAGTGCTTTAATTGATTTATTGATATTATGATGTAGAAATCATGCTTAGATTATTATTATGATTCCTAGTGTCATGTTAGGGTGTTTTGATCTTCCTAGTATCATGTTTATGGTAACTATAATTTCTAATATCAAATATGACAATTGTGATTCCTGTGATGCTTCCTACTTTCTTTCTTAATATTCATATTAGTATCATGTTAGGGTTAAAGCTTTGATTTTTATTGTTTAGTGACATGTTAGGGTTTGTTATTAATCTTGTTAGTATCATGCCTAGGATCTTGCTATTATTATTATTATTATTATTATTATTATTATTATTATTATTATTATTATTATTATTATTCTGCTTTAACATGATTATGATGATTATGGTTATTATTATTATTATGATAATGATTATTGTTGCTTGATATTTATTTATTGTTATTGCTTGATCACGCCTTTTATGCATGTTTAAAGGGAATTGGTACTTGTAATCACGCTTAATAAGATAATTAATAATCTTGTTTAGGGTTAATATGATTATAATTCAAGTGATCGCCAATAATGGATTTATTTGTGCATTAATATTCAACCAACATAGATTAAACAGGTTTAGGGTAAACCTATTGCTTGCATGTTAGTCAGAAAGCGCACATGAATACGATCAGAATAAAGTAGAAGCCTATTATTAGGGAAGGTTCAATCTCTTTTAGGTTGGATTTGTACCTTCATCCCCGAAATTCTAGTCATCGTTCCAGACCTATTGGAGTTGACGATCTCCTAGATCGTTAAGAGGTGTAACCTTCACCCTGTGAACGGTTTACAAGTTCCTACAACTTGTTGACGACTCTTTTGCTCTAGCTTCCTTCCCTTTGGACGCCACCATGCTTAAGTGTATGATCACAGTGGGGTTCAAGTTTGGGGTAATGCTTGAAACATTCCCTACACATGTCAATTAAAAAAGAACTGGGCAATTATAATAACTACTACTAGAGGTGATCAAAAAATCGGGACAAGACTTAACATGATACGCTGTGCCAATATTCGCAAAAATTAGCGGGCTTTCGGGCTTTTTTTAGGTCAGATTCAGGCTTTTAATTAAAAATGCATTTTTAGACTTGCCACAACCCGCCCTATATTCGGACCGGATCAGACCGAGCTAGCGGGCCAGGACGATGTTGATCACTTCTACTACCCTCTTTGTCCTTATTTTTTTGCCCTACT